AATATACATATATGAGCTTAGGTTAGCACTTATACATATCTCCTAGAGAAAGAGAGAGAAGAAGAGAAAGGAAAGAAAGAGGAGAAACCTTAACCTAAGTGGGGAGATTGAAGGAAATTGAAGAATAAGTTCAGGATTGGCTCAAGGTAAACTCAAATACTCTAAACGTTTCCTCTGTTGATTAGAATCAAACCTTAGAATGAAGTTTTTAAACCCATAGAAGTTAGGGTTTATGAGTTATTACCATGGTTGAATTTATTTCATGAAATTGAACATGTAATCTTTGGATTTGGTTAAATAAAAGGTTGATCCTTGGGTTTTGAGTTGTTTTGAGTGAGTTTGAGAAAAATTACCTTCTTATCTTTAGTTTCACATGCTTTGAGCTCATTTATGCATATGTTTGTATATGTATAGCTATGGTTGTTTTGATTAACTATGAAAAGATGAAAAACTGGAAGAAATGTAGTAATTTGTGTTGTGTATGTACAATTAAAATGAGCTATGATCTAATTAAGGTTGAGGTTCATGTGTATTATGATTATATATTATGTTTTTGAAATGGAACTTGCTTGAGTTAGAGCCTTGAAATACCTTTGGAAAGCTGAAATTGTTGAATTTTGGACTACTCAAACAGAGCCTAGGGCCGCACATGCGGGGCTCATGGCCACACGTGCAGGATACACAGCCGCACGCGTGGAAAATAAGGGAAGGCAAGTGTGGGCTTCTAAAATAAATGCATGTGCGACACGCCTCTCCGCATGTGCGGTGAGGGACCTCCACAAGTGTGGAAAGAGAGAGAAAATTATGTTGCTTTCTGACACTCCTTTGGACCTTCTGAACCTATTAATTTGTATATGTTAGACCCCTGAAATATGTAAAAATGAATAGAAAGTGAACAAAACGGAAAAAAGAAAAAGAAAGGCAAGAAGCTAAGAAATGAATGCATTACTTATTAGTTTATATGTGGGATGTCTAAGTCATTCGCCAGAAGGGACTACTACATGACCGGATCACTATGAGTAATAGTAGTGTAAAGATATACTCACTTATATTTATTTTGATACGTTAATGCGCGATTCTCTGAAGTTATGTTATTCGAATGAATGAGCAACAAGAATTGGAATATGGAATGTGGACATGAGATGAGACTTATTTATGGTATAATATATTGGGCCCGAGGCCGTTCTGTCATTATTGGGCCCAAGGTCATTCTGTTATTATTAGGCCCAAGGCCATTTTGTTATTACTGGGCCCGAGGCCGTTCTGTTATTACTAGGCCTGAGGCCGTTCTTTTATTACTAGGTCCGAGGTCATTCTGTTATTATTGGGCCAGTGGCCGTTCTATTATTATGATGAGGCCCGAGGCCGTTTTGAAATGTATTGATAAAAAGGACATACATGTATTACATACACGTTTTACGTTTTGCAAGACACATGCTCATTTATATGCTTTATTACATTATTATTATTCACTAAGCTTGGCTTATTCTGTATTCATGTATGTTTTGTAACCTGGAAACCAGCCCTAGGTCAACTTCAGGCGTCTTTTTGTGGAAATTTTGGTTAAGCCCAAGTGGAGACTTTTTGTTCCTTATGGAGTTCAGTGCCATATTTTTGTAATTGTTTTTGGTGGCTTTGTTGAATATTTTATAGTCTGTAACTTTTGGGTTATTAACTATTTGTACATATACTTGCCTCAAACTGTATTTATATCTGAACAGCGCATGTAAACTTCTCTAGTTAAGGAAAGTTGTGTAATGATCTGGCATATATGCACGGCTCGATGGACGTTGTGTTATTTAATTGCTTTCGCTTTATGCTCATTTGTTGAATAAATTATATTCTTTGATTTTGATTTGAGGCCTAAGTACAGGCCAGTCATGTCCTAAACTTTTAGGAGCAGGTTTAGGTCTTGATAGTTGTTATCAGAGCACAAGTAAATATCTCACATACATGTCCATTTGGCTATAAGGAGTCTAGGAAAGACTTAGGTTGCATGCATAATGTTTTCTACATTGTGAATATCGTATGAAAGATGACTAATGATCATTGCCTATATACACTTGTGTCTCTTCTTGTGTGTATTATAATCCTTTGATATGTAGATCATGGTGAGGACAAGAATGGATGATATGGAAGACTCTACCTCCATCCGGCTAGATCGGTTGGCAAGGATAATTGCGGACATGGCAGAAACTATGAGATAGCAACAAGAACAACAACAGCAACAACAATAACCACTACCATCACCAGTGCCTGCACCACCAGTAGTGCAAGACTATCAAGCTGAGGACTGAACCATTGCACTAACAAAAGAATTTAAGAAGATGAAGCCATCGTCGTTCAAGGGGGGCATTAAGCCAATACTAGGCATAGAGAAGTTATTTGAGATCTTTCCGTGCACAGAACCATAGAGAGTACAGCTTGCAGCTTTTACCCTTGAAGACGAAGCACAGAGGTGGTGGATGCTCACTCGAAATAAACATCAAAGGTTGACTTGGGCTCAATTTTTGGGAGCTCTTTTATGATAAGTATTTCCCACAGTGTATACGGGATAAGAAGGTGGCAGAATTTGAGACGTTGAGGCAAGGAAACAAGACGGTGGTAGAGTATGAAGCACAATTTTCAGAGTTAGCCCGTTACGCACCACACATAGTAGATACGGACTACAAGAAAGCAAGAAAGTTTGAAGGAGGACTCCGGAACTCGATTTTGGATAAGATTAATGTGTTGAAATTGCCTACCTATGTCGATGTGTTGGAAAGGGCGATAGTGGCTGAAGGTAATATAGCCGCTCAAAATCGGGTTTCTGGGTGGAGGGAGAAGAGACAGAATATGCAAGCACCAAGGGAATCAGTAGCGTCACAAAACAAGAAGCCGAACTTGGGTACTTTTAGTACTTCCGCCTCCACTAGTGAATTAGCACCAACTTGTCCAGATTATGGGAAACGGCACCGTGGGACTTGTTATCGGGTAACTAGGGCTTTCTTCAAGTGTGGAAAGACGGGACATTTAGCAAGAGATTACCCTTAGATGGACTGGCAAAATGGGAATATAACTACTATAAGTTTAGCCGGCTCAACTCCAGCAAAGACTGCTGTAAAATCCACCAATACCAGAGACAATGCTAGACAGGGTAGAGTATTTGCTCTTATTCCTAATGATATGCAAAATACTGAGGCTATGGTATCAGATACATTTCCTGTCGATGGTCACTTTGCTCATGTATTATTTGATTCGGGTTCTACCTAGTCTTTTGTGTCGAAAACCTTTGCTAGTAAATTGAATAGATCTAAGGAATCATTACATTATCATCGGGGGGCTCCATGTTGTGTACATTCATTTATCCTGCTTGTTAGATCGTCATTGGGGATGTTCAGTTATCTGCTGATTTGTTGCCGCTTGACATAACTTATTTTAATATAATTTTGGGGACGGATTGGCTAAGTAAATATCATGTGACTATTGAGTGTATGTCTAAACAAGTCATATTTCGACCCCCGGGGCAATCTAAATTTATGATTATGGGACATCGAGTGATTCCACCGCTGTACTTAATCTCCACCATGAAAGAATGTAAGCTATTACCAAAGGGTTGTCGAGGGTATTTATGTAGCATTTTGAATGGACAACCAGTAGAGGTATGTGTTGATAACATTCCGGTGGTACGTGAATTTTTGAACGTTTTTCCAGAGGAGTTTCCAGGAGAGTTAGTGGATCGTAACATTGAATTTGTGATTGATATAGTACTGGGAACCCAACCAATTTCAAAAGCCCCTTATAGAATGTCACTGGCAGAAATGAAAGAGTTGAAAATGCAGCTACAAGATCTACTTGATAAAGGATTCATTCGTCCAAGCACTTCTCCTTAGGGCGCATCGGTTCTTTTTGTTAAGAAGAAAGATAGAACACTCCGGTTATGTGTTGACTAGTAAGAGCTCAATAAGGTAACTGTAAAGAACAAGTATCCTTTTCCTAGGACCGATGATCTATTTGATCAACTTCAAGGTGCACAAGTCTTTTCAAAAATAGATTTGTGATCTGGATACCATCAATTAAAAGTGAAAGCAGAAGACATTGAGAAGACTGTTTTCCGCACCCGATACGGGCATTATGAATTTCTGGTTATGCCGTTTCGGGTTACTAATGCAACAGCAGCCTTCATAGATTTAATGAACCGTGTTTTTAAGCCGTACCTGGATGACTTTGTAGTTGTGTTTATTGATGACATTCTCATTTATTCGACAAACACAGAAGCACATGAGAACCATTTACGGATAATTCTGCACGTACTTCGAGATAAGAGGCTATATGCGAAATTGAACAAGTCCGAGTTTTGGCTACATGAAGTGGTGTTTTTGGGGCACATCATTAATAAAGAAGGTGTTTCTGTTGACCCACACAAGACAGAAGCCATTATGAATTGGCCAACCCCTACGAATGTAATAGAGGTGTGTAGTTTCTTGGGCTTAGTAGGGTACTACCGAAGATTTGTACAAGACTTCTCCAAGATTTCAACACCGCTTACCCAATTCACCCAAAAAGGGGTTACGTTTGAATGGACAGAACAAAAAGAAGTTTCCTTTCAGGAGTTAAAGACAAGGTTAACTACAACACCAGTTCTTGCTTTACCATTTAGTACTGTGGGGTTTGTGATTTACAGCGACGCTTCTTACAAAGGGTTGGGTTGTGTACTCATGCAACATGGAAGGGTCATCGTATATGCTACTCGCCAACTTAAGTCATATGAAAAGAATTATCCTACACACGACTTAGAGCTAGTTGCAGTGGTCTTTGCTCTAAAAATATGGCGTCACTATTTGTATTGTACGACATGTGAGGTTTACATGGACCATAAGAGCTTAAAGTTTTTCTTTACTCAAAAAGATTTAAATATGAGACAAAGATAGTGGTTAGAGCTTATCAAAAATTACGACCTGCAAATCCATTGCCACTCCAGCAAAGCTAATACAGTTACAGATGCTCTTAGCCAAAAAAGTATGGGGACTTTAGCAAATTTGCTCACTGGACAGCAAGAGTTGTTACTTGATTTGGAAAAAATGGATATAGAACTTGTGTTACATGGTCAAGACGCAGTATTAACAGCAATGTCAGTACAATCAGCTCTTATTGAAGAAATCAAGCAATGGCAACTGGAAGATGAGTTTATGAAGAAAATTTGTGTCGAGATAGAAACAAAGCCAAGGCCCGGGTTCATTCTTGAAAATTCAGTGTTGAAGTTTAAAGACAGATTATGTGTCGCAAATGTTTTAGAAATCAAGAGAAGCATTATAGAAGAAGCACATATGTCTCGATTTTCCTTACATCCCGGTAATACAAAAATGTACCAAGATTTGAAGCAAAATTTTTTGTGGCCAAGCATGAAGAAAGAAATTACAGAATTTGTTTCGAAATGTTGCAATGTCAACAAGTAAAAACGGAGCACCAAAAACAGTCAGGTCTACTTTAACCTCTCCCAATTCCATAGTGGAAATGGGAACATCTAACGATTTATTATGGGTTTGCCCCGAACACCCTAAGGTATGAATTCCATATGGGTTATTATTGATAGATTAACTAAATCTGCCCATTTTCTATCTATGAAAACTCAATATAATGCAAATAAACTTGTTGTTGTATATATGAATGAAATTATCCAGCTACATGGTGTCTCAATTTCAATTGTATCCGATAGAGATCCGAAATTTGTATCCAGATTTTGGCAAAGTTTACAGAATGCCATGGGTACAGAGTTGAAATTCAGTACAGCATTCCACCCTCAAACAGATAGCCAATCAGAGAGAACAATACAAACGTTGGAGGATATGCTTCAGATGTATGCCTTAGATTTCCAAGGAGTTTGGGAAACGTACCTTTCATTAGTAAAGTTTGCATACAACAATAGTTTTCACTAAAGCATAGAGATGGCACCATATGAAGCTTTGTACGCAAAAAAAATGCCACTTCCCAGTGTATTGGGCTGAAGTTGGTGATAGATCATTGTTTGGGCCTGAAATTGTACAAATGACGACGGAGAAAATCAAAGTCATTCGGGAAAAGAGTTACACGAATCATCGACGAAGGGATTTAGAATTTGAGAAGGGCAATTATGTTCATGTAAAAGTCACTCCGATGAAATGACACACAAGACTTGGCAAGTAGGGTAAATTAGCACCCCAGTATGTAGGTCCTTTTCAAATTCTAGAAAAAATGGGTTTGATGGCTTATCGTATTGCTCTTCCACCGAGTATACGACAAGTACATAACATCTTTCATGTATCCATGTTACGGGGTTACCTTCAAGATCCATCCCATATTATAGATTACCATGAACTTATGTTGGATGACAACTTGATCTATGAGGAGAAACCAATTCAAATTCTGGATCGTCAAGTGAAACAACTGCGAAACAAAACAATTCCGATGCTAAAAGTCAAATGGGAAGAACTGTGACAACCCTACTCTGTGTTATGCTAATTAATCTTAAATGTGCTTATAATTATATGCTTGATATGATTTTGAGTGCTAATTATATGATTATATGTGTTTCTCAATTTATATCTGTTCACCATAGGAAAATCTATTCGTTTTTCTGTTATAAAATTTAAATTGAAGGTTATAGAGGCGTTAGAAAGTGAAATTATCTGTACCATTGTGATTGGCGTGATTTTTAAAGCCTATAGTGAACTTAAATTAAAAATTGATTCGGATCAAAATAATTAGATTGAGCTGATTAAATTAAGCATAATTACTTAGCCTTAATCAAATTTGATTAGACAAGCATATAGAAGTGGCCTTTATACACTTGAGTTTATTCCTTTGAGTTCAAAATCTGAAATACACTTCTAGAGAGACAGAGAGAGAGCCGAATTTAGAGAAAAAGGGCTCATCCTCGAAGATTTTTGCAAAGGAGTTCAAGAACTAGGTGGATTAACTCAAGACTTAGCTATAATGGGAAGGATTGGAGCTTATAGGTAAGTAACCAACCGTTTATCCATGATAAAGCCTACAATTATGTGAATTCAAAGAGAATTGGCAATCAAGAACAAGATTTGAATGGTGTGTGATGAATTTGAAGTCTATATCTTCATGTATGTAGAGGATTACCATGAAATAGTCATGAAAAATTGAGTACCAAATCACACATGCGTGCATAATTTTGTCAAGCTTCATGATTTTGAGCATCATTTGTACCATTTGAAAATGAATTAGAGTCAATAATTTACATGCATGCATGAGTCATGAAGGCATAAAACTTGATTGCATGAATTTTGAAATTGGCAAGAAGAACTTGAAATGGTTTGGGAAATGGACCATGATTTTAGCCCATTTGGTTTCAAATTACCTTTGTTGACATGATAAACAATGTTTTTCCATGTTTCAGTGTCAATTTGCAAGCTTTGGACCTTTGGGAGTGTGTTTTGAACTTTAAACAGAATTCTGGAAATTCCAGAATTTGACCTGCCCCGCTCGAGCGACGAAAGTCTCTCTCAAGCGTGAAAATGTAGCTCCCAAACAATTTGCAAAGATTTGCACGGTGGCTCGAGCGGCCAAACTCACGCTCGAGCAAACCCTGTTTTGCTAGACTCCTCGCTCAACCATCAAAAATCTTGCTCAAGCGTAAAATCATGCAACTAGTATTTTTGCAAAGTTTTTGCAAGCCACTCTAGCGGAGAGCCTTGTTTTAGAAATTTTAAAAAGTTGTTTTATGTTTCGTTTTCCATTCTCTTTTATTTCTAAGCACTCTTAGGCATGCATTAAACATTATAAATAAACAAAATGGGAAGAAAGAGGGCTAAGAGAAATAAACAAATTAAGAACGGATTGATTCGCTTGTGACCCAATATGTTATGAAATGTGTAGGGTCAAGTACAAGGGCAAATCCATCTGCAGGACACTATGAGTAATATCTTCGTAAAGATAGTTTCAAGTATGCTACTTTCCAAATGCTTACTTCTGTATAAGTTTCATGGCTATTGTTAATTTGAATTGTGAACGAGTATTCATTATGCCAATGATTGAATGAATTAGGCCTGAGGCTGTCTTACATGAATAAATTGGGCCCGAGGCCATCTGACATGAATGAATTAGTCCCAAGGCCGTTTGATATGGTGGGTCAGAGGCCATTTGATATGTTTGGGCCTGAGGCCGTTTGATGTATTGGAAAAAAAATATGAATGGGCCTAAGGTCGTCTGATATGTTTGTTAAGAATTTCATTCATGTAACTTCCTTATTTTGATATTATTCATTGGGCTTTCGCTCACTCTCATTTTTATGTATGTAGCTGAGCAAAGAGATGTCCAAACCCAGCCTCAGTGAAAGAAGTGAGAGGAAGTTAAGTTTTGTGGAGTTAGCCTGAACGTCTCATGCACGAAACTTTGTTTCTTGTACTTTTCCTTCTGTTTTGCACCTTACTACCTTGGTGGTTCCATTGGATCTCTTATGCATATAAACTTTTGGTTTGGCTGACTATAAGTTTGAATGATCCTTTATGTACAAGATTCTAAGTTTGTTTTTCGATGTGAGTTATTAATGGATATATGCGAGATGTTTTGATATGCCATGTAAGCACAACTCTTTGGACAAAATTTTGAAGTCTGCTTCCATTTTTAGCCCCCATTACTATCATAATATACGTTTGTTATTGTTTGAGGCTGTAGGTAATTTTATGATTATTGACCGGTTATGACTTTAACCTACAGGGTCAGGTTCGGGTCATGACAAGAACACTATGGGAAGGAAGCCACTTGGGAGAAAGAAGGGGAAATGAAACAATGGTATCAGAGTTATTCTCAACTTGAGGTAAAATAAGTTTGAGGGACCAAACTTCTTTAAGGGGGGAAGAATGTAATAGCTCGACCCTCTCATATGCTTAAGTCTCTCATTGGATGTGTGATTATATGCGTGTTTATATGTTTGACATGAAATTCCATGTTCTAATGTGTGAATTATATGAGTATGAAATTATATCTGTTGGTTATGAGAAAGTCTGTTCAAATTACAACCTTTGGACAATAAATTGAATGCCTTAGAGGCGTGACAAACCGAAATTGACTTTACAATTATGATTAGCGTGATTTTTAGAACATAATATGAAATTGTGTAAAAATTTGATTCGTAATGAATTAAATTGATTTAATTTGGTCACAACTCTTAAATAAACTATTTGGACCCCAAAACTCAAGTCTTGTAGATATAAGAGATACATATATGAGCTTAGGTTAGCACTTAGACATATCTCCTAGAGAAAGAGAGAGAAGAAGAGAAAGGAAAGAAAGAGGAGAAAACTTAACCTAAGTGGGAGGATTGAAGGAAATTGAAGAATAAGTCAAGGATTGGCTCACGGTAAACTCAAATACTCTAAACCTCTCCTCTGTTGATTAGAATCAATCCTTAGAATGAAGTTTTTAAACCCATAGAAGTTAGGGTTTATGAGTTACTAACATGGTTGAATTTATTTCATGAAATTGAACATGTAATCTTTGGATTTGGTTAAATAAAAGGTTGATCATTGGGTTTTGAGTAAGATTGAGAAAAATTACCTTCTAATCTTTAGTTTCACATGCTTTGAGCTCATTTATGCATATGTTTGTATATGTATAGCTATGGTTGTTTTGATTAACCATGAAAAGATGAAAAACTGGAAGAAATGTAGCAATTTGTATTGTGTATGTACAATTAAAATGAGCTATGATCTAATTAAGGTTGAGGTTCATGTGTATTATGATTATACATTATGTTTTTGAAATGGAACTTGCTTGAGTTAGAGCCTTGAAATACCTTTGGAAAGTTGAAATTGTTGAATTTCAGACTGGTCAAATAGAGCCCAGAGTCGTACATGCGGGGCTCATCGCCGCACATGCAAGATACACAGCCGCACATATAGGGCTCACAGCCGGATGTGCGGAAAACAGGGAAGGCAAGTGTGGGCTTCTAAAATAAATGCATGTGCAGAACGCCTCTCTGCACGTGCGGTGAAAGACCTCCGCACATGCAGGAAGAAATGGAAAATTCTGTTGCTTTCTGACACTCCTTTTGACCTTCTGAACCTGTTAATTTGTATATGTTAGACCCCTAAAATACGTAAAAATGAATAGAAAGTGAACGAAACGCAAAAAAGGGAAAAAAAAAAAAGGCAAGAAGCTAAGAAATGAATGCATTACTTTTCGGTTTATGTGTGGAATGTGTAGGTCATTCACCAAAAGGGACTACTGCACGACCAGATCACTGTGAGTAATAATAGTGTAAAGACATACTCACTTATATTTATTTTGTTTTGTTAATGCGCGATTCTTTGAAGTTATGTTATTCGAATGAATGAACTACAAGAATTGGAATATGGAATGTGGATATGAGATGAGACTTATTTATGGTATAATATATTGGGCCCGAGGCCATTCTGTCATTATTGGGCCCAAGGTCGTTCTGTCATTATTGGGCTCGAGGCTGTTCTGTCATTATTCGGTCCGAGGCTATTCTGTTATTACTAGGCTCGAGGTCGTTCTGTTATTACTAGGCCCGAGGCCGTTCTGTTATTACTAGGCCCGAGACCATTCTTTTATTACTGGGCTTGAGACCACTCTGTGATTATTGGGCCCGAGGTCGTTCTGTTATTATGATAGGGCTCGAGGCCGTTTTGAAATGTATTGATAAAAAGGACATACATGTGTTATTTACACGTTTTACTTTTTGCAAGACACATGCTCGTTTATATGCTTTATTACATTATTATTATTCACTAAGCCTGGCTCATTCTGTATTCATGTATGTTTTGTAGGTGGTCAGCTTGGAGGCTAGCCCTAGATCAGCTTCAGGCACCTTTTTGTGGAAATTTTGGTTAAGCCCAAGTGGAGTCTTTTTATTCCTTATGGAGTTCAGTGCCACATTTTTGTAATTGTTTTTGGTGGCTTTGTTGAATATTTTATGGTCGTGTAACTTTTGGGTTATTAACTATTTGCACATATACTTGCCTCAAACTGTATTTATATCTGAAAAGCATATGTGAACTTCTCTGATTAAGGGAAGTTGTGTAATGATCTTGGCATATACGCACGACTCGAGACGTTGTATTATTTAATTGCTTTCGCTTTAGGCCCCTTTGTTGAATAAATTATATTCTTTGATTTTGATTTGAGGCCTAACTACAGGCCGGTCATGTCCTAAACTTTTAGGGGTAGGTTTGGGTCATGACAGTTCCAAAATTTGAAGATAAGAAGAATTGTAGGAGAAGCTAAAGATTGGGCTAGAACGCTTCAAGCTAATGACTCTAGGTAAGATTTTTGTCTTTAATTCTTGTAAAAAAATCATTTAAAGGTTGAATTCATGAAGTAATTGGGATTAATTACATGAAAATTGTTAGGAAATGTCAAGAAGATGATGAATAGTAAACTAAGTTCATATCTAAGGTTGCATGTCTCATGTTTCATCATTTTTGAACATGGTTTTGAAGGTC